CAAAAAAAAAAAAAAAAAAAAAAAAATGCATATAATATAGAAGATACGTAAATAAATAATATAACAGGTAAAGTGGTGCAATAGAGTATTCATAAAAGTGCTTTGGGACAGAGAATGGGAAATGACTCCTTACCTGGGGAACTGGGGAAGGCTTTACCGAGGAGATGCAGTCTGAGATAGCGCTTGAAAATGAGCTGGAGTTTGTGTGCAGAAAGAGGTGCCAAGGTGGGGAGTGGCTGCTGGCGGGGGGGCATAGTTGGTTCAAAAGCACTGACATCTCCAAAGGCACTAGCTTGTTCCCGAAAAGGTGAGTCGCTCACTCCGCGGAGCCCTTGGATGGTGGGAGGTGAAGTGGGGAGCTGAAGCGGGGAGATGGTTGGAGCCAGAGTATGAAGGACCTCAGGCTCCATGCACAGGAGTTTGGCCTGGGGAAGCCATTAGAACACAGGACGAGACATAACCTGACCTGGGCCTCAGAAAGATCATTCTGGGACCCGTGAGGAGGGGCTGTTGGAATTGAGAGAGGGGCTGTTGGAATGGTACCCATGAGGCTCTTTAGAGGCTTTTGCAAGTCCTGGTGAGTGATGATGACTCAGTTAAGGCAGTGGGATTCCAGAAAGATCTTTGAGGTCTTTGTGGTTTTTTGTTGTTGTTTTATTTTTTTTTTGGTTTCCCAAGTTTATCAAAAATCAAAGAACAGGAAAACTTTACATTAAAATATGGCAATTTTAGCTTTCACAGTGTCCACACACACACAAATCAAATCGTGGTATCTTTTTGTTAAACCTGTAGCATGTGACCGCAGAGGTAACCAGTCCAGTTCATTCGGTTCCTCCGAGAAGGAGATGGAGAACAGTACCTGTGACTATGAATTGAGCTTTAAGATACACACCCTGGGGACACTCGCCACTGTCCGTGCAGTGATTTGCTTAATGTAGGGTTAGTCTGTATTGCTAACGCCTAGAGATTAGTACAGGCCTACGCATCTGTTTTTATAAACGTTTATCAATAGGTTCACAATTTAAATAGTTTTCAGTATTTTTGGCAACTTTCGATCCTCAAGAGCTGCAGACAGAGTGCGCTGCTGTCTTCCAGAACGCTTCCTGGAGAGCCGGTGTCCCAGCTGGCAGCCCTCCACGGTGATGGGGCCAGTCCAGCTTCCACAAGGCAGGCTGTGGTCGTTCTAAAGCCTGGCCTTGCTGGGTGTCCATCACATTCAGATATCACTCTGGAACCAGATGGACAGCTTTTGGTGGTACATACACAGAGACAGGAAGAATCAAAAAATTCTGTGTTTTTCTCCCATGGCATGTGGCTGACACCATCTCCAGGAAATGTGGGAGAACGTAGCATCTGCTGAGCTCCATTTCAGCTCCGGGAAAAGAAGAGCAGGCCTTTTACTTTAGTACTTGTTTAGGCAGTAATAATTCCCCTCTCGCCCCTGCACCTCCACTTCCAGCCTCACCCCGCTGTGATTTCAATGTCGTGTTCTGGGATGAGGCTTCTATGGCCGGGTTGCCTTGCTCCCGCGTGTGAAATGACAACAGGCGGCCATAGCAAATGCAGACAGCAAGCGGGGTGAGGCTTGGGGTCCAGGCCCCAGGGGTGTGGCTGACCAAGCCTGGCCGCCCCTGTGGTGCCTCTCCTGCCTCCGCGGCTGCAGGTGGGCCTTCTGCTTGCCCGCAGCACAGCCTTCATGGTTTGAACCATTTTCTAGGCCACTGGAGGGAAGTGGACTTTTCATGATGCTTCAATGTCTCAAGCGTGTGACTAATATTATTAAGAGATGTCTTTCTTTTTAATTGCATCTACTTGTTCAGTCTGTGACCCAATTAGTTCATTCTTGTTGTGAATGTATTGGAAGACCCTGTACCCTCTTGATCTCTCCTAATAATTATTACTGTCATCCTCCTTTGAAGCACTGTTTTGATTACACACTTCAAAGGAGCTGCTAAAATACCCTCTTGCGCCATGCGGTGGAAACGCCCATGGCTTGGACTCAAGGGCAGTCGTCTGAGAGTGGCTCCTGTCCGCACATCTCAGAGCCCTGTACCTCCCTTTTCACCTTCCTTCCCCCAGAATTCCGCCCCTTCCCCTGAAGAGGTTTGTAGTCACACGTTTCCTACTCTAATAAGAAGACTAGCTCTTCTCTCTGAGGCCCAAAAAGCTACGTTTAACAAACACAGGTAAATCGATAAATGTGCCTTATCGGTGTTAGGATTGCTGGCAGGTGCCTCACAGCAAACATTGTTGCAATTTCACCATCAATCCCCCACCCCGTTCCAAACATACATTCGTATTTACTTCTTTCCTGAGATCACACTGTCTGGCAAGCCTGAATTCAGATGAAAATTGATCCAGTTGACTCACCCAGATCCAGGTGGAAGCCTGTATTTGTATATGGGAAGCAGTTTTAACCAAATTGTGTGAAATCAAATTCTTTGTTCTGATGCTGTCTCTGCCCAGTGGTCTGAATGTTTTCATCTGCTTGGTTTTTATGAAAAGTTCTTTCCATGTGGTATCCGGTTCTATAAAGCACTATCGTGCTGTAGGAACATTCGCAAGAATTTACTGAGGTAAAGGACAAGATATTGACTCAGTAAATTATTTGTCTTGCTCTTCAAACTTGAGGCCAAAAGCCCTATTAGTGGCCCAGACAAGTGTCCTCGTGGAAGTGTCCCCTTCCCTCTTTTTGGTAGTCTGTCATCTCTCTCCTTATCTTACTGTAGAAGGAATGTTTGTAGAATCCATTACAGTTCAGTGAGAAGAAATAAGGGTGAGAAAATTAAAGGTAACTCAATGAATGATGACGAGAAAATAAAACTTTTTAAGATGACAGGAGAAGGTATTAACGCCCACTTAGGTCATTCATGGCTGTGAATTAGGTACAGAAGACCTTGTGTTTCTCGTCATTTTCTCTAATATGATGAGACTTTGGGGGAAATTCTGGTTGTGTACTCTTGCATTAGGGAGTTTTATGTGGAGTAGTGTCTGAGTCTGTTCAGGCTGCTGTAACAAAATACCACAGACTGGGTAGCTTATAAACAATAAAAATGTATTGCCCAGTTCTAGAGGCTGGAAGCCCTAGATCAGAGTACCAGCATGGTCGGGTGAGGGCAATCTTCCAGGACACAAACTGCCTACATCTTGCTGTGTCCTCACGTGGCAAAAGGGCTAGGGAGCCACATGAGGCCTCTTTTTTAAGGGCACTAATTCCACTCATGAGGATCCACCGTCATGACCTAATCACCTCACAGAGACCCGACCTCTAAAAACCACAGCCTTGAGCACTAGGGTCTCAATATATGAATTCAGGGGATACACACATTCAGACCATAGCCAGCAGTATGCAGTTGTCGTCCCTGAGTCTGTGTAACATTAAGTTCCTCATTAAGGATTCTGCACAACCCAGAAAATAGGGCAAAGCCTGTTTTCATGAAGGGCAGTGAAAGTGTATTTCCTTTCAAGAGATGGAACCATCTATTTTTACATCAGAATCTGAGCTTCGGCCCTCTTGATTTACGGTCTGGTGGCGAGAGTCTGCATTTCTGGAATTTTAACATGCAACTCAACCATTCACTCATTCAGCACCTATTTATGGAGTGCCAACTGTATACCGAGCACAGTGCTAAACCAAGCTGTCAACCTGCTGGAGGGTTAGGTCCACTAACCTTTAGTGAGGAAGGAGAGAAACCACGGGAGACTTGACTAAAATTGGAATCCATGTGCCACCACAGCTTTCAAGAATGGCCTTCTTAGAGACAGGAGCTGAGCGTGAAGACCAGAGGTTACTTGGACTTATCAATACTTGCAGTTTACCGGCCACATTCTTCAGAAGGAAGTCTTTGCTTAAGTCCTGAATGTTGACTAAACTGAAATGTGTTCACGTTGCCTTGTTTATTCCTCATGCTGCTTTGTTCTTTTGGCCCAGAAACAGAAAAGATAGTCCTCGAGGCAGGAAATGGGTTGCCCTCTTGGAAATTCAACGACCAGCTTTTTCCCTGTGACGTGTGTGGGAAAGTATTTGGCCGACAGCAGACATTGTCCCGACATCTGTCTCTGCACACAGGTGAGTCAGGGTCTCCCTGCCGGGCCTTCCCTCCCTGGACCACCAGCTTCTCCATGATCAGGAAGCTGTGTCTCTAAGAGAATTACATCAGGAAGTGGTAGAAATGTTTTTATCCGGACCTTTTCAAGCCATTTTACCTGGCATGTTCAAATAAGCCTCTGGAAAGGGTTTTTTATTTGTATTGAAAGGATCCATTGAGTTCAAAGATGATTGATGAGAAAAGATACACATTTTTAGGTGTGTTCAGGTAAAATTTCTGAACTCTAAGGAGTTTATTGATGTCACCTTGAGGGTGCAGGGCATGGGGCTGCACCCCATCTTATTGGATTCATCTCATTGCGGTAGGTGGAAGCAGAGGGGAAAAGAGCACCTTGATGGAGAAACAGTCTCTGTCTTTATTTACATATAATAATGGAGAAATGTGGTTGATTCTGAGTGTTGGGAAGCGGAAACCCGAATAAATAGTAACTTAATCAATGCAGCAATAATAAGCAAGGACAATAAGAAGTGAGGTAAAATCAATAGCAAACAAAAAGCAAGATGGAAAATAAAAAATGAACTATTTCAATTTTTACACTATAGATCAGCCTTGTTAAAAATTCAAATGTGTCTTATTTACAGGAAACACAAAACAAAGTGGTAAAGAAAATAAAAGTTTTGTATCTCACACAAAGTTAAAAGAAGCAAGACAGTATTAGTATGGCAAGATTAATTTCTTTTTATATATATATATTTTTTAATATTTTTAATCTTAACTATTAAACCACTAAAGACAAAATTTAGTCATATACTTAACCACAAAGAAAACTTTCACATATTAAAAAAAGTAGAGGGGGCTTCCCTGGTGGCGCAGTGGTTGAGAGTCCGCCTGCCAATGCAGGGGACACGGGTTCATGCCCCGGTCCGGGAAGATCCCACATACCGCAGAGCGGCTGGGCCCGTGAGCCATGGCCGCTGAGCCTGCGCGTCCGGAGTCTGTGCTCCGCAACGGGAGAGGCCACAACAGTGAGAGGCCCGCGTACCACAAAAATAAATAATAATAATAAATAAATAAATAAAAAGTAGAGGTTCTATAAGCCACATTCTCTGAGCATACTTAAATGAAATTTAAAATAACCAAGGATCCATAAAATGTTCTACCTAATTGTATCAAAGGAAAGGATCACAAATTCCAGACATCTAAGAGGAATGAAAGGGGAACATTCATCCTTAACCTGGAATGAATAGCTACAGCTCTGGTCCACGGGACATTTATAGATTTAAACATTTTAATTGGAAGGGAAGAAAAACAAAAATAAAGGAACTTAGCACTCATATTAAAGAATTAGTAGAAGAACAAAATCTAGGAATAAGACCATAAAATAGATAAATCCCTTTAAGTCTGATTAAGAAAGGAAGAGGAGGGCTTCCCTGGTGGTGCAGTGGTTGAGAGTCCGCCTGCCGATGCAGGGGACACGGGTTCGTGCCCCGGGCTGGGAAGATCCCATATGCCGTGGAGCGGCTGGGCCCGTGAGCCATGGCCGCTGAGCCTGCACGTCTGGAGCCTGTGCTCCGCAACAGGAGAGGCCACAACAGTGAGAGGCTCACGTACAGCAAAAAAAAAAAAAAGAAATGAAAAGGAGGCTGAAATATTCAAAATTAGCAATGAAAAAGGAAGCCTAATTCTTTTCATACAATGTTTAAAGATTACTTTCCACTTACAATTATTACCAAATATTGGCTCTATTCCCTGTGCTGTACAATACATCCCTGAGCCCATCTTACACCCAGCAGCTTGCACCTCCCCCTCCCTCTCCCCCTCCCCGTATTGCCCCTCCCTGCTCACACTGGTAACCACTAGTTTGTTCTCTATATCTGTGAGCCTGCTTCTTTTCTGATATATTCACTAGTTTGCTGTATTTTTTAGAGTCCACATATAAGTGATATCATACAGTATTTGTCTTTCTCTGTCTGACTTATTTCACTAAGCATAATGCCCTCCAAGTCCACCCATGTGGCTGCAAATGGCAAGATTTCATTCTTTTTTATGGCTGAGTAGTATTCCATTGTATATATGTATCACATCTTCATTATCCATTCACCTGTTGCTGGACATTTAGGTTGGGAAGCCTTATTCTTAATACAGATGCTGTTAAAGAATTATTGAAGAATAAGGGCAACTCTATGGCAAAAAAAAAAAAAAAAAAAAGCTGAAAACTTTAGAAGACATAGATAATTTAAGCAAAATTTCCAAAGTTGACCCAAGCTGGGTAGGGGGGAGGTGGTGGTACTTAAGTAAATCAGTTACCAAAGGGGAATTTGGAAAGATGATGGAGATACTATTAATAAAAGCATCAGGTCCAGAAACTTTCCCAGCTGGCTTCTTTTTTTTTTTTTTTTTTTATTTTTTTTTTTTTGTTTTTTTTTTTTTTTTTTTTTTAATGTCAGTTCATTGGTTTGTTTTTTTATTTATTTATTTTTGGCTGTGTTAGATCTTCGTTTCTGTGCGAGGGCTTTCTCCAGTTGCGGCAAGCGGGGGCCACTCTTCATCGCGGTGCGCGGGCCTCTCACTATCGCGGCCTCTCCTGTTGCGGAGCGCAGGCTCAGTAGTTGTGGCTCACGGGCCTAGTTGCTCCACGGCATGTGGGATCTTCCCAGACCAGGGCTCGAACCCATGTCCCCTGCATCAGCAGGCAGATTCTCAACCACTGCGCCACCAGGGAAGCCCCCAGCTGGGTTCTTTTTAACTTGTTGAGACAAGGAAATTCTGATATTATTAAACTTTTCCAAATGATAGAAAAAGAAAGCGCAGCAATTCACTTTATGAAGAAATCATAACCTTAACACCAAAACTTAACAACCTCACTTATTAATACAAATACACAAATTCTAAAGAAAAGACTCTCTTCTATCTGTACTGTAGGGCTCCTCCCCAACCCTGCGAAGCCCAGGCCACCAGCACCTCGGATGCTGGGGACCACCTATAATAATAATGATGCCTTACATTTTGTTGCAGACAAATTTTTTTCCACACTCTTTCCCATGAAGTAGATAAGACAGGTGTTTTCTTTAAGGTGAGCCCACTATTACAAATTCAGAACTAAGGATAGAAAAGGAAGTTGTTCTTTCCTTCCTCTGCTACCATCTGTTACCTTGATCTGTACCTAAAAGCAAAGCCTGCTCCTTTAATTTCCTTAATTAATCAAATGAATTCAGAATGCCACTCTGGAAACAGCCCTGAAACATCGTCAGTTTTATGAAAGGGTTTCTATTAAGAAATCAACTAAAGTTTTTTATTTTATTTATGTAGCATGAAAATTTCCAATTAAGTTATTTCATCTGGAGTCCCTTTAATGTCATTAGTGTTTATTTCTTGGCTAACTCAGGCCTGGAGCTTAGGAAAAATGAGGGGCTTCTCTTACACACCAGTCCTGGGAAGGCTGATCATATCCCCTTCCTCAGCTCAGCACCCACCCTGGACTGACACATGTCGGGGCTTGGACACACACACACGCACACAAATTATTCTTGTAGCCTGCATGGAGCTCACATTATCAAGAAGAGGGGCCTATAGGTACCCAGGAAAAAGCAGATGGTCCAGTTGCCCCGGAACTTTCTTTCATCTTTGAAAGTCTGAAAGCAGAAGCGACCTGCCATGTGAAGACTTTTTAGATATTTAAAATTCCAGAGTGTTCCCTTTGTCCCCATTGGAAATGAGATTTGAACCCTCCTTTCCTGATACCCTTAAGTGGTCTTTGGCAAGGTGTTGGGATTTCATTTCTGAGAGTGGTTTGGGATTTTTCCTGTCCCTTCTCCCCCAGAGGAAAGAAAATACAAATGCCACTTGTGCCCGTATGCTGCTAAGTGCCGCGCAAACCTGAACCAGCACCTGACCGTCCATTCGGTGAAGCTGGTGAGTACGGACACCGAGGACATCGTCAGCGCCGTCACCTCTGAAGGCAGTGATGGAAAGAAGCACCCTTATTATTACAGGTGAGCCGCCAGTGGAACCTGCTGGTCCAGGCTGCCCAGAGTTTCTTGAACACTCCCTGCCCATCTGCTAGGGCACACATGACAAAGTGTCTTTTCTCAGTCACAGGGCTGAGCTTCCTTTTAATATTGGCTTTGCTTGGATTGAACCCTGTGTTGCACTGACTCCTTCCTGGCTTGGGTGGCCCTGGGAGAGTTAATTAAAAGGGTGGAGGTCTTAGAGGTGGCTTTGTGGAGCGGAGTCCAGAGAGTGGCAGGGCTCAGGGGTGATGAGCTGTGAGGTCTGGACAGCTGGGAAGCTCCCACCTTTGTCACTGAGCACCTCGCTGCTTCCTGAGAATTATCCTAAGGAGAAATGAATCTGAGAACCCTGAGGGAATAGCCCTGGAAGTATTGCATACTTTCCCCTGGCTGTGCTATCCTTTAGTACCTGGAATGGTATGTTTCTCTTCCATATTCAACCGTGAATCAGTATTTGGTTTGTTTGCTATAAAATCCCGAGTTTTCGGGCTTGCTATCGAATCCTGCCCGAGTGTATCAGCACACCAGCTCTGCTGATATCTTGGCAAGGCTGCCCCGCATCTCTTTGCCCGAAGGAGTCAGTTAGGTTAATGTACAGCATCTGGAATCTGTAATTTTTAATTAACTTTATGATTATTTAGCATAGTTATAGCATGAATGGGATTGGTACATCATGCTGGCACTTAGCCTGTCTGGCACAGTGACCACTTCGGAGGTGTCCCAGAAAGTGGAAGAATTTTCTAACGCAAAGCCTTTTGGTGGGAGGAAAACACGTGTCAAGGTCCAGATTTCGGAGTGTACCGCGTGCAACTGGGTAGCCTCCATTTAGAAGCTCACTCTTCTCTCGTCCCGTACAGCTGTCACGTGTGCGGATTTGAGACAGAGCTCAACGTCCAGTTTGTCAGCCACATGTCACTCCATGTGGACAAGGAACAGTGGATGTTTTCCATCTGCTGTACGGCCTGCGACTTCGTCACCATGGAGGAGACGGAGATAAAGGCGCACATCGGCACCAAGCACACAGGTGACCCTCCCTGTCTGCCCTTCTCACCCATCTCTCCTACATCCCCCGCCGCCCCACCTGGCATGGATGTCCTCATCGCCATGCGACGCTGACACTTCCTTCCTGAAGGAGGGACTTTCTCAGGGTAGCAGAGCCACATCCCTCTGTATCCACAAGGCCACTGCCTGGCCTGGCTTATGCCTCGCCCATCTGACAGGTTCACCGGCTCAGGTGCGGTGGAGAGGCGAGGGCTGTTTGCTTGTTCCTCATCCTGATATCATCATTGTAGGTAACAGTCATGGAGCTTTTATGATGCCCCAGGCTTGCACCTTTGTGTCCCAGATCTCATTGAAGTCTTAGAACAACCCTCTGGGGTCAGTACCATCGTGGGCATACCATATAGGTGAGAGACTGAGGCTTGAGGTCAGGTATTCTCTCCAAGGTCTACAACCAGGAAGTGACTCCAGATACTCAGACCAGAACACTTTCATGCTAGAGCCACTCTCTGTGACCCTGCTGTTCTGACAGCCCCAGGCAACCCTGGGCAGAGGGCTGCCCCTTTCTGTTTTGCGGGGCCAGAGCCCTGTGCACCTAGCTCTGCAGGCTCTGCCCCTCTTCCCTGAAACTGCAGCCCTGACCCCCTCCAGAATGATGCATGGCGGCTCTGTTCAGGGGCAAAGAAAGCCAGCTTCTCCTGAAACAACTCAGTGGCTCTCTAGCCTGCAGCCAAGACTTTGCCAGCACTTTTCCTTTCCTATAAAGCTCCGGCCATACTGGTTAACTTCATCCATTTCATGATGTTAACATTTGGACTTCACCACACAATTGTCCTCTCCCAAGTAATGGTTACAAATGACACCAGCGTGGCGTCATTAAGTGACAGTGAAGAGGAGCTCCCCCTGCGTTTTGCTTACAAGTCATGAGCTCACGTTGCTGACTGCCAGCCCTGGGCGGTGGATCAGCCCCTTGCATCCTCGGCCCTTGAAGGATTCGGGAAGGGGAAATTCCCTGGCAGTTGTGCTGACAATGTGCACGGCCGAGAAGTATCTCTCTGTGCTTTACTGGCCGCTTTGGCTCCGTGGTGCCAGCAGCAATAAACGCTTGCTTTTGTCAGTAAGTGGAGCAGCTATGACTCGGAGGTCTGCAGAGAACCATTATGCTGAGTGAGGAGGTGCCGTTTTTACAGTCACTTGTCTCACCATAACCATGTTAGCACTGTGGGCAGCGGGTGAGCTGGGAAACCCACATGGAGACAAATGAAATTCAGCATTTCTGGAGTGGCCAGTGGAGGGAAAGGCCAGCCTCTCTTCTATTTCCACTGGCTTTCAGATTTTTTTTTTCTCTTGTCTGTTACACTTCCTTTCTTCTAACTCTCTCCACCCCAAAGTATGCCTAAACCCAGTTGAGAACTTTTCTCCTCCCTCCCCTATCCACAGCTCTCTCCACCCCACCTCAAGAAAACTATAGAAACCATATGGCTGGAAAGTTGTTGGACTTAGAACCACTTAATTGTCATCACTGGAAACTTCACATTCACAAGCAACCAACGCAAAGTCACTGACCTCCTAATTGCCACAGGGAACACGGTGAAGATCTTGTTCCCTCTGAGATGGTGGGACCCCTGCTCTAGCTGGGAAGAACACTCTTGCTTGTTAGCACAGAGAGCCCAGAGTGAAATGCATTGAAGAAGTTTCTTTTGTAACACAGTAGAAGCCGTTAGTGCTGCTGCTATTAAGGAATAAGGTTCTATCCTATTTTATAATCCAGGGGTGCTAGCAAGGTTTTTGTAAGGGCCAGATAGTAACTGTCTTAGGCTTTTCAGGCCATACAGATTTTGTCACTGCAATTCAACTCTGCCATTGGATGGAAAGTAGCAGTAGGTGATATGCAAATGAGCGGGAGTGGTAGCCATATGTGATATGCAAATGAGTGGGCGTGGCAGTGTTCCACTAAAACTTGCTTTACAAAAACCCAAGGCTAGATTTGGCCCAAGGGTTATCGTTTGCTGACCCCCAGTTATAAGCTTATGGCCCCACAGTTTGGGTTTCTCGTATTTAGCTGTTGCTTTGAGGTTAGAATTTAACCCAAAATATGTCAGCCTACATCTGTAATCAGTAAGCTGTGTAATTGCAAAGTTATGATATAAAGCAGTATGTATGCGATATAATATAGATAACAATGTATATTCCTGAGAATAAGGAGCTTATGTAAGGCACTGCTGTGTCTCCAGCACCTGGAGCAGTGGCTGCACGGTGTAGGTGGGGAGTAAGCCTTCATCCAGTGAATGAATATAAGTGTGCAAGCACATCTACACACACATGTGCACGCCAAGTAAGAAAACTACTGAAACGTGGCCCTTGCCTGACCTTAGAGTCCACTAACTTGTGTATATACAGGCATACCTCGTTTTACTGCACTTTGCCTTATTTAGCTTTGCAGGTTTTGGGGTTTTTTTTTTTTTAACAAATTGAAGGTTTGTGGTAACTCTGCGTCGAGCAAGTCTAATGGTGCCGTTTTTCCAACAGCATTTGCACACTTCATGTCTCTGTGTCCCATTTTGGCAATTCTTGTGATATTTCCACCTTTTTCATCATTATTATATTTGTTATGATGATCTCTGATCAGTGATCTTTGATGTTACTCTTGCAAAGAGATCAAGACTTGCTGAAGGCTCAAATGATGGTTAGTATTTTTTAGCAATAAAGTCTTTTTAAATTAAGGTTATGTACATTGTTTTTTTAGACATAGTTCTGTTGCACACTTAATATACTACAGTATACTGTAAACATAACTTTTATACGCACTGGGACACCAAAAAAATTATGTGACTTGTATTATTGCAATATTTGCTCTGTTGGTGTGGTCTGGAACCGGACCATCAATGTCTCCGAGGTTTGCCTGTACTCTATGTGGAAGAAGTTAGTTGGGATGGAGGAGAGCACACGTTGAATTCTAGATCCTGGCTCTAGACCCCATGTTACTGTAAATAGCTCTGGGAATATAAGAACTCATTTAACTTCTCTGGGCCTCCATCTGTTTCCTGAGTTTTTTTAATGAGTAGGAGATGCCAGACAGGCCTGAGATTCTCTAATTCTGCGAGCTTTGTTCCCTCATTTGACTTACCTGTCGTAGGAATGGGCATCTTTTATTTCAGTACCCTAGGAGATCTGAAGTGCTTTCTTGTTACCTAGTGAAGTTGTGATCTACAGGATGAGCTTTAATGAACAGCAGATTTTTACTCAGTCTCTCTTAGAATCCACATCCTTCTTCATACTTCCTTACTGGCTACTCTTACCCGAGGCACCCTGTGAATGAAGTGCTGAGCGGGTATCTGAGGAACTGTCCTCTGTTTAGTGTTTCTTCAGTGACTCTCCCTTACCCTCTTCCTCCACGGCTCCTTGTCCCTGCAGAGAACATCAGCAAGATAAAATATTCCCTCTGGTGCTTCCTAAATGCAAATTTTGCTGCAGTCTTTAAATGTTGCAATAATGGCATTGAGGAATTTGAATAGCTATTTGGAAAATACAACCATCTGTATGTCACGTCACATTGACACCAAAATAAATGCCACATGACTTACCCAATCCCTGTTTACAAATCACCCCTAGAAAGGCTTGAAGAAAATAGAATATTTTTCAAACTTCCAGAGTGAGAAGGATTTGTACAAGCTTAAGTGACAGAAGAAATCACGAAGGAGAAGAATCAAGAGGTTTGACACAGGAAAATTTCTCCTGTTTGCAAAAGCAAAGCAAAAGAGAAGGAAAAGGAAAACAAAAACCCACAGTCTGAAAAAAATGTGTTTGTAAAAATGACAAAATGTTAATCTATTTACAACATGGAAAATTCATATAAACTGGTAAGAAACACTTTAGGTCTCCAATTAAAGGATTCACAAAGGACATGAACAGTCAAGTCACAATAAAACAAAGAAAAGCTAATGACTTAACATCAGGAAAAATGTTCAACCTCGCTAGCCGTCAAACTAAAACTCAAAAGTGGCTTATCTTTCACCTATTAAGTTAGGAGCACGTCTTATAATGTTACCCACTGTTACCAGAAGCTGCTGATCCGCCTGTGGCCATGGCCTTGCAAAGTGGTAGAACTTTTGAAAACTAATTAGTGTATACCAAGAGCCTTGAAAATGTAATGCGCTGTGACCCAGTAATCCTGCTTCTGGGAATTTATCTGTAGGGGAAAAAAAAAAAAAAAAAAAACCAGCCAGTGGAATATTAATTTTAACTTCAAATGCAATTTTAAGGAAATAAGTAGAGTAGGATAAGTTTACCCCATGGATATAATAATATCATTTAAAAGTATTAATTCATAATTATTTTCACAAATGTTTTGAGCACCAACTGTGTGCCAGGTATATAAAACAGCATGGGAAAATACAAAGTGTTAGTTATCATTATTATTATATTTTATAAATATTATATGTTATATTTTATAATATAATAATATATTCTTCAATAATGCTTACCATGAGCCAGGCATTGTCCTTAGTGCTTTGCATAGAAAAACCCATTTGAGCCTCACCACAAACATATGAGGCAGGTGCTGCTATTATCCCCATTTTTTAGATGAGGTAATTGAGGCACAAAGTACATACCTTGTCCCAGGTCATACAGCTACTGAGTTGAACAGATGGCATTCAAACTCAGGTATTCTGGATCTTAAGTCCTTATTCTTTATTTTTTAATTTATTTTTTTATCAGAGTATAGTTGATTTACAATGTTGTGTTAGTTTTAGGTGTACAGCAAAGTGAATCAGTTATACATATACATATATCCACTCTTTTTTTAGATTCTTTTCCCATATAGGTCATTACAGAGTATTGAGTAGAGTTCCCTGTGCTATACAGCAGGTTTTTATTAGTTATCTATTTTATATATAGTAGTGTATATATGTCAATCCCAAACTCCCAATTTATCCCTCCCCCGACTTATCCCCTGGTAACCATAGGTTTGTTTTCTACATCTGTGACTCTACTTCTGTTTTGTAAATAAGTTCATCTGTACCCTTTTTCTTAGATTCCACATATAAGTGATATCATGTGATATTTGTCTTAAATGCTTATTCTTAACCACTATGCAGTTAACAACAACAGTTTTAAAATAAAAATGCTTACTTTTTCAAAAATAAAAAAAGAACACCAAAAATGTAATGTTGTTTGTATTGAGGCAGCAAGAGGGTGGGTACTTTTTTCTGGTCTCAATCTCTCAATTTGTGTCATTTTAAATTACGAAATATTTAGGGTTTTAACGTTCTCTTCAATTGGCTGTCCCAGTGTTTGAGGTTGCCTTACCTGTGCACAGGTGTCCTTCACCAAAAATCTTTGCGATGCTGAAAATCAGTGATGGCTTGGATTGCAGTGAGCCTTGGATTGGGTTGACAAGGGCACCCTGGCTCACTCCCTACAGATACAGCGAGGGGAGATGTGAACTGAGGGGAGAGGAAGCTGTGTAGATGAGGGATTATAAAGAGCGTGGGCTGGGCTGTTTCCCCATGCTGTAGCCCAGAGCGTTTGCCGTGGCACCTCTATATTTATACATTTATTAATTTAGGGAGCTCTCCTCAGTGCCGTAAGCCTGAGGGTACTTGAAGCTATTCTTAAAGATGGTAATTAAAATTATCTGTTTTAATTCTAAGAACTCATTTAAAATAATCACTCATAATATTCTGTTAATAAGACTAGTCTTAGAGGATGGATTTGGTGAAGCAATGTCAGGGACTCAGGGCCCCCACTGAAAATATTCTATTTGTCTACAAACTGTGACTGAACTGGTTCAATATTTAGATAAGAGACTGGCAATCATGGTGCTGGCTTTCCTTGTACCAAGGGAGGAATGTACCCTAAAGGCATGTTCCATCCCTTTCGTGGGTCAGTAAGTGAGGTCACCTACTGTCTGTCCAGGAACCAAGTTCACTTCTGCTAAGGAATAAGATCTTAAAAATTGTCAACTTGGGACTTCCCTGGCAGTCCAGTGGTTGGGACTCCGAGCTTCAATGCAGGGGGCGCGGGTTCAATCCCTGGTTGGGGAGCTAGGATCCTGCATGCCATTGCCGTGGGGCGTGCCCAAAAAGGAAAATAAAAAGGAAAATTAAAATTGTCAACTGAAGTAAGGGTTGGGTGCTCTGGGCATAAGTGCAGCTCTGACAGGAACAGGACTTGAAAACATTGTAAGCCGGTAAATATTTTCCCTTCCTCTTTTTACAAACTTTTTTAAATTAGACAAGTAATTTATGGTCACTCCAGAAAATGTTGAAAACCCAAATAAAAGAAAACAGGCATAAGGCTGATCATTTCATATGCTAGATGTAGCCACCATTACAGCTTTGTTTACTTCTGGATTTTTTATGCCTATATATAAAATATGATTTATATTTTTAATCTCCTAATAAAGGAACTTTGTTTCTAGAGTTTACAATCACTAGATTACTTAATTGGTTGATCTGAAGGGAATGGAAGCACAGACTCCCTACATTTTCAACCCTAGCCTAAAACTATGGGCTTAATTGGATAAAATTGGCTTGGGGAGAATTGATGTCTTAACAATACTGAGTCTCTTGAACATTTACAATGGATAGCTCTCCAGTTATTTGGGTTTATAATGTCCATTTTTATTTATTACAGTTTACCTTCAAGTGATATTATACCTCTTCATATGTAGTATAAGAACCTCACAATAACTTCTTCTCTCCCAGCCTTTATGTTATTGTTGTCATACATTTACCTATTATAAACCTTATAATACTTTGTTATTATTTTTTAAACAAAATTACTTTTATTATATTTTAAAGAGATTTTAAATAGAAAGAAAAATTCATCTATCTACCCATGCAGTTATCATTTCCAGTGTTCTTCATTCTTTTTGTGTAGATCCATTTTTTTATATTTGGTGTCACTTTCCTTCTGCCTGAAGAATTCTTTTTTAACATTTCTTGTAATTTGGGTCTGCTGGTGATGAATTCTTTTGACTTTCTTTTGCCTTCATTTTTGAAATATATCTTCACTGCATATAAAGTTTCAGGTTGACAGTTGTTTCTTTCAGTACTTTATAAAGACGTCACTCCACTACTTCTCACTTGCATTGCTCCCAGTGAGAAATCTTCTGTCATGCTTATTTTTGTTCCTCTGCACGTAATGTAGCTTTCCTCCTCTGGCTGCTTTTAGGATATATTTTTTTTTATCACTCATTTTGAGCATTTTGATTATGATGTCCCTTGGTATAGATTTCTTTATCTTTGGGGTTCATTGTGTCTCTTGGATCTGTGGGTTTGTGGTTTTCCTCAAATTGGGGAAAATTTTGGCCTTTTCACATATTTTTTCTGCCCTCCCTACCCCATTAGGAACTTTAGTTGAACTTATATCAAGCTACCTGCAGGCGTCCCATAGCTCACTGATGCCCTTTGCATTTTTGTGATTCTTTTTCCTCTGTGTTTCGTTTCAGATCATTTCTATTGCTATATCTTCAGGTTCACTAATCTTTTCTTCTACCATGTCTAAATTGCTGGTAATCCCATCCAGTGCATTTTTCATCTCAGACATTGTAATTTTCACCTCTAGAAATTTGGATTGGATCTTTTTATATCTTTCATGTCTCTACTCAACTTTCCAAACATGTGGAATACAGTTCCAATAACTGCTCTTATGTCTTTGTCTGCAAATTCTAACAGCTTTGTCAGTTCTGGGTCAGTTTTGATTGGCTGATTAATCTTTTCGTTTTGGGTTGTGTTTTCTCATTTCTTGGCATGCTGATAATCTTCGTTTGGATGTCAGACATTGTGATTGTTACCTTGTCGGGTGCTGTATATTTTATATTCCTATAAATAGTCTTGACCTTTGTCTTAGGATTCAGTTAATTACTTGGCAACTTTGATCTTTTGGGGGTCTTGCTTTTATGATTTGTTAGGCAGGTCTGGAGCAGTGCTCCATCGAGGGCTAATCATTACCCACTATTCAAAGATCTTCCTCAGTTTTCTACTCAATGCCTTGGGAATTATAAGTTTTTCTAATTTGGCCAGTGGAAACAGACACTGTTCTCTAAGCCTTTCAGATGGCTTTTTTCCCTCTAGCTTTGGGTAGTTTCCTCACACACATGCTCTGACCCCTACTCTGCTGAATGTCCTTGAGGGACCCTCTGCAGGTCTCCGGGTTCCTCTCCTGTGCTGCTCTTTCCTCTCTGGTGCTCTGTCCTGCAAAGTCCAACCTCCTCAGACCCTCAGCTCTATCTCGTCAACTCAGTGAGTCTGCCAGGCCATTCCCCCACCCTGCACTGCAGTCTGGAAAGTAAAATCTCTCAAGGCAGGAAGCAGGTTAAACCTAGAGCCTGCCTGTTTTCTTTCCTCTCTCTCAGGGGTCACTCCTCTTTATTGCCTCATGTCCAATGTTGTGAAAACTATTATTTGATAACTTTTGTCTGTTTTTTGTCAGTTGATAAATAGCAGTGGTAAATCCCGTCTCTGACACTCCATCTTGCATGGTAGCAGAAGTCTCCTGACACTAGATTTCAATGGCCTCTTGACTTATTTACTCCTGGTTTTGAGGGAGAGTCCAGTGCCCTGATGAAGAGTATGGACGTTAGTGAAATCTCTGCTCCACCACTTCCTAGCCACGTGACCAAGGCCATGTTAACCTGGCTGTGCCTCCCTTCCTTAGTCTGTAAAATGGGGGTGATAATAGTCATGCCTCATTGGATTTTTGAGAGGATAAAATGAGATAGCGCATTTAAAGCATGATAACCCATTTAATGCATCTAAAGTTCCTAGAACTTGGTAACACATTCATCTTAGCTATTGTTGTCATTTTATTTTAATTCTTATAAGACGCCAATAAACACTTGCCAATTGAATATCTACTCTTGGCCCGAGAACCACAAGTGTCATCACCATAGGTGACTGGGACCTGGGATCCAGCACTGGGAGAGCTGGAAACCTCAGCTTGTGCTCCCTGAATGATGATGTAGACATGAGGCCCCAAATCCCCCACCCATAATTGCTATTATTCTAGGGTTTTCATCTCCTAAATAACAGACCTGGGTTTGTTTGTTTGTTTCATTTTTCAGGGGAAGATAGGAAGACCCCCAGTGAATCAAACAGCCCCTCTTCATCCTCCCTCTCAGCTCTGAGTGATTCAGCCAACAGCAAAGACGATTCAGACAGCTCCCAGAAAAACAAGAGCGGAAACAACCTGCTGGTCATCTCTGTCGTGCCTGGGAGCCAGCCCTCACTGAACAGTGAGGAAAAGCCAGAGAAAGGTAAAGGAGGAGGTGGGCTGGTCTACTCAACCCTACCCACTCTGGGGGGGATGACCCAGTCTTGAGAATAAGCCCTTGACAGAAGTGATGTTGGAAAACAGGTATTAGGCCTGGGAACAGTATAGTACGTATCATCTAAAATTTACGTGTGCTTTTTGGCTTGATTGGCATCCGTATATGGGGTGGAAAGATGGGGAGTGTGACATTGATTCTGAAGCTGTATGTTTAACACCTTTTAGCCCGGAGATGCAGGGAACGGTGCCTGGAAGGGTACAGCTGGAGGGTGGGGGGTCTCTGTCCTACTCCTGCCCTCCTGTCCCTCTGCCCCATGCACCCGTACACCCAGCCTCGGTCCTTTCAGGGTTCGAATGCGTTTTTTGCAACTTTGTCTGCAAGACGAAGAACATGTTTGAGCGCCATCTGCAGATCCACCTCATCACCCGGATGTTTGAGTGTGACGTGTGCCACAAGTTCATGAAGACCCCTGAACAGCTGCTGGAGCATAAGAAATGCCACACTGTCCCCACCGGTGGGCTCAAGTAAGGAAAGCAAGTACAGAACCTTTTACTGTGTTGTTTATTAAACACCCTCTCCCCATCCCTACCCCATCCCCTCCCCTGAAGGTTTTGGGGTCATGCAGAAGGGGGGCTTGGCATGGGGGGGGGCGTTAGTCAGGCACCTCTGCTGCCTTTAGCTGGACAGGAATTAGATCTGCCCCCAAGGAGGTTGGCAGATATCAGCAGGAGAATCCATTTCACAAGACGACTTGCTGAAGCAGCTCTGCACAGGCATGCAAGGGTAGACCCATCCTACACTGCTTGACTTTCACTCAGACTTGATTTTAAGGGACTTGGGGGTTAGTGTCCCCAAAATCATTACACTGACACTGCACTTCATCCTCTATTTTTTAGATGATTTGCCGCAAGTCTTTTAAATAAGCACTACAGCTACCCCATACACACACACACACCCAAATATCGGATCCTTGCCGGTGTGAACAGGCAAGAGGCACCGTTTTTCATGCAAAGATCATGTGCCTCGTGTCTTCCTGCACATATGCCTTACGCCTTCCCAGGAGCTGCAATTGGGATCTCCCTGGTGTAGCCTTCGTGAGATCTGACATTTCCGGTCACATGTTCTCCACAGATCCCCAAAGACCTAGACAATGAGCATCATCATTAACCAATATTTGCAACAAGCCCTCTGGTCTGAAGAGAGACCCATCCGTTATTATCAAATGCACTGTGTGTCTGGCTTGATAATAGGTGCTAAAGGGCAAACAAGGAATAAAACATAATTTCCACCCTCGGGAAATGTACGTCCGAGCACAACCAGAGTTTAATCTTCCCAGTGGTTCTGAAATCAGAGTCCCTGTTCAGGAGGCACTCATGGTCTAGTAAAGAGAAAAAAGCATCTGTCACTGGGCACAGAAAGACATACCACTTTCAAAGCATAATTATTCATGTTTAGCTGAAATGATCCTGTTATTAAAAGAATGAAAAATGACATTGTACTTAATATAAGAACAAAAAACCTTTTGTTTTTAAACGTTTTTATCTTTGAAACTCACAACTTGCCAGAGAAGTGGCATGACTGTCCTGAATGGGTGAGGGGTGGAGAGATCCAGAAGGAGCCTGGGAGTCGAGTCGGGGGGCTCCTTGCAGGGTGGACTCCCCGGGCTCCTGCCGGGTCAGGGGGACCCTCCTCAAGAACTTGCCCAGAGGAGCAGCACCTACTGTTGGATCCCATTTTGTTTCACCCTTGGGGATGATTAGGTGGGAGGGGGAGGGGTGGGTAAATGGGATGGGGGGAGGGGCGATTATCATTCCCGACCACCAGTAAATGGGAAATGCCTAGCACGAGCTTATTTGGGAATTTGATTTGGTTTATTCCCACTGTCCCTTTCTAAATATTTGTGTACTCATGTTTAAAAAAAAAAAAAAAAGCCATGTATTTCCGTGGTTAGACTAGCACTCATTGCCCTGCCCAGAAGCCCAGTCACACCCATTACCCGCGGCCCCTGCCAGTTGTGGCTTTGCCAGTTAGGCCCCCTTTCTTCGGGGACCTAAGGAGCCCCGAGCCTCCGACCCACTGGGGAGGATGCAGAGTGAACGCTGATGCTTTTGCGGGTATAGACACTTCCCATACAGTACTAATGGTCCCCTATGTAATAGTTTATGTTCTAGGATGACCAAGTAGAAGAATACTTTGAAAAACTTGCTAAAGCCTTCTGGCTGTACAGTGAGTCTTTGTTTTGTTTTGTTTTGTTTTCCCTTGGCCATATCAGAGCTTTAATTTGCCTGAGAGAGTGTCTTTACAATAAGTAACGGGAGCACGGAAAACCCTTAGCACTCTGCCTGAGCAGCGAAGGAAAGACTGAGCCGTGGGTCACAGAAATGTCCTTAACGTGAAACAGACTGCCGATGTCTAAATTGCTTTTCTGTGATGGGACTGCTTGTACTCTATATCCTGTTCATAATGCAGATCAAATAAGATTATACTATTATTTTTCTTTTGCCGTAGCTCAGGACAGTGGTGAGTTTCAGACTCCTCTAGGTAAGGCCCAGCTTGGCGTAGGGGTTGTGTGTGCACCTGACCTGGGAATGGGCTTTATATTTCTCTCGTGTGCACTCTTCTGTGAGCTGAGGTTCCGAGGCTAACGGTGGGCTTGGTGCTGAGGCGCAGTGCACGGGCACTGGGTGTGTTGGGCTCTGCTGAAAACCTCTCCAAACCCTCCGAGGACAATTCACTCCCAGGCCCTGCCCTGCAGGTGCCAGGCCAGAGCCGAGGCAGCCACTTCTGCATTTGCATTCTTTTGGTAAAGAGAGCACACACAGGCTACAGCTAGCATATCAGCCACCGACTCGAGCCCGGCAGCTTCTACAGAGCAAAGCTCAGCAGAATCCGTAAACCTGCCCTCTGTTTTCCCTGCCCCTCCGGACAGCCGGGAGGCTTGTGGGTAGCGTAGCCTCACTGCCTAGGATGGAGAGACCCAGGCTTTGTCCCAGGGCACAGCCAGCCCGATAAGGTGGCAGAGCTGGGACTGAAACCGTCCCTTCTAGATAGACTCTGCCTAAATGACTTGCAGAGACCCGTCCAGTAATGAATCAGCGCCCACCATGTGCTGGGTACTCTACCGAGCACTGCAGAGAACGCAGAAGAAAAGGGGGATATGGTCCTGCCCGCTGAGGGTTTATGATCCCTTTGGATGATGATTATTTCCATGATGTAATAACATTAATCATTAATAATGCATTAATAATGTCTTCAAGCTCCAGATAGCAGTCGCCTCCCTCCCGCCATCCCCCATTCCTAACCGGGCCGGTGGGTGGGCTTCCTTCTGCCGAGCCCGCCCCTGGTCCTCCCCTCCCTTCCCTGATGGAGACCCCAGGGCTGTAGGAGGCAGGTTTTAGGAGCACAGGTCTCTGCATCTACACACACACACTCCCACACACAGACACACACCCAGGCCTTCTCGTCCTAACCACCCTTTAATCAGCACGATTCTGACCCCTACGACTTTCTGTCTGCTGGAGGCAGCTCTCCCCCTATAAGCTGTTCTTCAAAACTCTTAGCCTTTCTGCGTGTGCTTGGTGTGGTGCATGAAAAGTCGATTCTCTGTGTTGCTCCCATCTCGAGGGGAGGTCGTGAGGGTTAGCCCTCGGCCGAGGCCACTGGGGGGGGGCCGGGGAGGGCTCCGAGGGGCCGGGCGGGGAGGACGGAGGGGAGAACAGCTTAGCCGGGCGCCCCCTCCCGCACTGGCTCTGCTCCCCTTCCTGGGGGCCGGCGTCCGCGGGCGCAGCCAGGAGACCCCGAGCAGGCCGACGGACGTCTCCAGAAGAGGGTCCTCGTCGCCCCCGCAGGAGGCGGCAGGGCCGGGCTGGGCAGGGAGCAGGCCGGACCTCGGAGCTGGGAGGGCGGCCGAGGGCAGGCTGGTGAGGCGGGGAGCAGCCGGGCGGCCACCGAGCCCGCGTGGCTGACCCTCCCCGTCCTTGCTTCCCCCCCCCCCGCCCCCCGCCCACAGGTGCCCATTCTGCATTTATTCCACCAACCGCCCCGCCGCCATGGAGTGCCACCTCAAGACCCACTACAAGATGGAGTACAAGTGCCGGATCTGCCAGATGGTGAAGGCCAACCAGCTGGAGCTGGAGACGCACACCCGCGAGCATCGCCTCGGCAACCACTACAAGTGCGACCAGTGCGGCTACCTGTCCAAGACCGCCAACAAGCTCATCGAGCACGTGCGCGTGCACACCGGGGAGCGGCCCTTCCACTGTGACCAGTGCAGCTACAGCTGCAAACGCAAGGACAATCTCAACCTTCACAGGAAGCTGAAGCACGCCCCGCGCCAGACCTTCAGCTGCGAAGAGTGCCTGTTCAAGACCACTCACCCCTTCGTCTTCAGCCGCCACGTCAAGAAGCACCAGAGCGCGGACAGCCCCGAGGAGGACAAGAAGGGCCCGGCTCCGGCCCCCAAGGAAGCCGCCGGCCCCGGAGCCCCGCTCCTCGTGGTCGGGAGCGCCCGCCACCTCCTGTCTCCCCTGTCGGTCATGTCCGCCTCCCAGGCTCTGCAGACCGTGGCCCTGTCGGCCGCCCACGGCGGTGGCGGCGGCGGCGGCGGCGGCGGCGGCGGCGGCGGTGGCAGCGGCGGCTGCTCCGAGCCCAACCTGGCACTCAAGGCCTTGCCCTTGAATGGCTCCCCTTTGCGCTTTGACAAGTACCGGAACTCGGATTTCGCCCATCTCATTCCCTTGACGATGTTATACCCCAAGAACCAGTTGGATCTCACATTCCACCCTCCCCGACCTCAGACTGCGCCGCCCAGCATCCCGTCCCCCAAACACTCCTTCCTCGCCTATCTCGGACTGAGAGAGAGAGCAGAGACTGTCTGAGGGCAGCCGGGCTCTGTACCAAAAACCAAGAGACAGAGACAAAAACACAAAACTCACAAAACTTAAACACAACCCCAGCAGATGTACGTTGCTGCAAAACCTACAGACCCGCCCGGGTCTGACCACGTGTACTGTATATCTTTAGTGAGGAATAGAGAATTGGCTCTGTGTGTATACCTATTGCATTGACCTGAAAGCTGCTTTATCCGATCTTCAGAGAGGTGACCTACTGCATCCGTCTACCTTCAGAGGCATGCCTCCCCAGCCACACACTCCCACCCTCAGCCCTTCTCAGTACTTTGAAAGGAAATTCGTCTTGTTAAACCCTAAAGAGAGTGTCCTTAATAGCAATCAGCACTTGTAAGCTTCTGTACCGGTGCATTTTGTTTTCTGTTGGGTGAATGGGGCGTGTGGGCGTTTGTGGATTTGGAAAGAGACAGCCGTGTGTCGTGTGCCATAACATTTGCACCTTCTTTGTACTGGCTTCTTTCACAGGGATGAACGTTCTTGGCCCTCCTGGGTTGTTCATCCACTACAGTCGCACCCCGAGCTCCTTCATTACCTTTCCCTCTCTATTTTGTGGCTACAGAGTGGTAAGGCCTGGTGCTTAGGCGACGAAGGAATGGTAGACATCTCAGTGCTGCCTGAGATTTCCGACAGAGTCCTGGAGACCTTGTGCTCGCATCTCTGGTTATGAAGATGCGAGCCGTTGAGAGCCCCATCTGGGAGAAATAGCTTGCAGCACTGCAGCCAACATCACAAAACTTAAGTGTGTTTTGCGTGTGTGTCCATACGTATGCAGTGTGTATGGTACACACACACAGTGCATCATTTTTTTAAGGGCAGATTATATATATATATGTATGTGATGTATTAAGTCAGTGGTTACCATTTGTTTGCAGGAAAAGAAAAATTGTATGAGTGAAAATTTTTATGGTTGATAAATCCAGCCAAGGAGATTAAAAGGGGTTTGGATAAATTCTGGGTATAAATGCTCAGACTAAAAAAGAAATGGCAGTTTTGCACAGTGCTTTTGGTCTTGCACTAGTTTTTGTTTCTCATCTGCAAAAAAGAAAAGTAAAATAAAAGGAAGAAAATGTACCTTTTTTATGGAAAGAGTAGACTGTATGTTTGAAACTTTTGTCATAACCTCTTTGACATATAACTACCCAACAAAAAGGTGCTGTTTTGTCCTACCGTTCAGTTTATGCCCCTGAGACGTTTCCATTTGTTTGCAGATCGTCAGGCTATAGCGGTATTCTCCACGTTATTAATAATTCTGTATTCCATTTTGTTAACACCTGGTAGATATAACCTGCTAGGAAGCTAACTTTATACTTATTTAAAGCTCTTATTTTGTGGTCATTAAAATGGCAACTTATGTGCAGCACTTTATCGCGGCAAGAAGCATATATGGATTGGTTGTACAGCCCTTTGCTATTCTTAAAAAGTAATGGGTGATTTAAAAAGAAGAAAAGGAAAAGAATCTTTGGCTAAACATGTTAATGGCTTGTATTTTTTAAGACAACAGAATTTCCAGTATGAAACAGGCTGAAGAGCAGGAAGAAATGTGCTTTGTATAATAATGAGAAGTTTGGAATATAAAAGTTTATATATTATTTATCTATTGAAGAACTGGTGTACAGGAGGAATGCTTTCTTACTGCGTTGCTGTTTTTCCATCATGTGTTATCCTAGGGTTGGGATTTTTTTTTTCATCTATTCCACCGGGGGAAAATAAAAGCATCCCTAATTTTCTTCCTCTAGTCAGTTTGCTTCACTGAAAGCTCCCCTTGAAATTGTTACCGTTCTACAGGAAGGAGTCCAGAAGTCTTCTGTCCACACCATGGTCCTCCCTTATACCCACCCTTCCTCCCCCAGACCTAGCAGGTGTGCTACACTTCCCTTGCCAGTCATCCAGCCCTGGCAGACCTGTTTACACTAAGGAGATGTCTCCAGGGGCAGGGAGGCTGAGCCAGCTAGGGCAGGAAGCTCCCGCACCCTGGGTCGTCTTCCAGCAGAGACATCTGTTCTTGGCCACGTTTGAAACGTCATTCAACGTCGCCATATCAATGTCTCAGTAAAAGACACTATAGACAGTTATGGACGATACACTCCAAGAATACTGGGCTTATGGGTGGATTGGTTTTTTTAAAGTCACGTCCTTTTCCCCATATAATGGAGAATGTGCCACCTGGCTAATCATGTACTTTCACAATTACAAGTTCAGTGATGACAGGAAAGAGGACCATGGTGATCCCACAGAGGCTGGCAGGAGGGCGAATCCCACGGGAGCGCCAGCAGGTTAAAAACCTGAAGGGTGGCCCTGACAATTAAAACTGCGGATTTTACAGCATGCCACTTGTGCAATACGAGGTCCTAGGGTGAAACTTTCAAGATCAAGAAGGGTGTTGGAAGGAGACAATTGCCGCTCAGATGCTTGCCACTGAACTTGTATTTGAATGACTTAGTCATGCTTAATGTAATTGGGCAACTTTTTTAGCACTTTGGAAAGAGTCATCAATCTTTCTGGTAAATTATAAAAGTTTTCTGAGTGAGAAAAGGTGTGTTTGGAGTTTGTTTGACTTTTTATATTATTATTATTGTTATTAATAAAGAAAAATCTACAGCATTTTTCAGACTCCACCGAAGTAATATGTACCCCTGAATTTGGTTTGCAGTTTGATACTCAGGGAAGGATGTATTCCATAGATATCCTTTCCGTGTAGAACACTAATGTCTTTGAGATAGTCACCTGCCAACTAACTTCAATTCTGTTTTCACTATGCATTCTTCAATGAAAGCTAGCTTATTTTTCCATATAGTAATGCAGTTAGAGTTCTCAGCACTTTCTTCTCTCCTTTTTTTAACTCCTCATATTACGTTCAGATGATCATACTGTCAAGGTTTATGTACATTACTGAAAATTTGTATTGTATAAAGCTTTTTGCATTACAAGGCTGTACAGGGTCATTTTGACAGTAACTGGTATATTCCTTTGCATCTTATGTTGCATTGCCAATTTCTAGTGTATCCAGTTTGGAAGTATAATATACTCTAATTAAAAAAAAAAAGTTGGCTATACTCTTGTTTCTTTTTCTTTCTTGGGTGCCATCCTTGGCTACTTGTTAATCTTGCTTTGTTCTGATTTTCACATTTCAGTGTATTTTAGATAAGTTTAGGAAGTGTCCACTACTAGTTATAACTATTGCAAAATGCAAGTTTTGAACAACCATGGTTCTAATGCAAACTGGTATTATGTAAATCACTCACGGCCATTAGGATCGAGAGCATATCCATCAATCAGTACAGCTGCAGGCCGGCTCCTTGCTGAAAATACTCAGTGACATTTAAAAGTGTTCGCCAGCCTTACCCTCTCCTGCTTAACAGCATTTTATTGACCCCAGAGCCATAGCGGGGGGGAAACAGATGAGTAATTCCATTTGTCTTAATGAAGTCTGGCAACTATGAGACTGTAATGAGGGGGAAAATGATATGCTTTGCAAGCTAAATAATAATCTATCCAAATGCAAGTAAGAGTTCTCCATTCAAAGGAAGGTACCAGAGAAAGAAACTGAGCCCAAAAGAGAGAAAGAGAGAGAGAGTGAGAAAGCACACTGATACATTGAAACAACTTTTTTTAAAATCCATTTTAAAGTTCTGTCCCTTAGAGAACTTCCCCATGAATCCTTGATGGCTGGTGAAACATAGAAAGAAGCAAAAGAGAATATTTTGCCTGGTTCACAATTTGCATGCTTCTAAGTATAACGTCCTTGGCTTGTTGGAAGAAATTATGACCTGCTTCACTCTAACATTCACAAAGATCAAATTTACTTTTTTATAAAATGAGGTAATGTAGGAGAACCCACTTTGAAAATGGCCAGTCACTTATCAGACACTATTCTCCCCTTCATTTGTTCATCCAGTAACTGTGTTTAAGTGATTGAATCAAGTTCTCTCACTTGATTCAAATACTCACTTTGTTTGGGGATGGCTGGTATTTATTGAAAATATTAAAGTAAGTCAGACTTCTTGGCTTTTTGCTAGCACTACAGCAGGCATGGTATCTCATCTTGTGTACGTATTCTTTTCCCTTAGATTCCACACCTACCTCACATTTTCCCTTTGGGTGAAAAAAGCCAGAAGTAGAAAGAAAATAATCATCAGTTTGGCAGTTGTTTCCCCTGTTAATGGGCTTCCAGTGGCGTTGAGGAGTGGCTGGGATGGGAGCCATCCATGAGAGGACAGACCTCATCCGCCTCCTTCACTTACCCAGAGAGCGCTGCATGTGGACTCCAAGGCAGTTATGCGGCCCCTGTTTGAATTTAATACCAGATCATATATACTTTTCCTACTGTCGTGTTCAATAAATAAGACTGTAAGCGAAGACTCGAGGCCATGTTTTCTATAACGTCTCTACGGCTGATTGGCCCCATTTGGTGGACACCAGAAACTATCCTTGACCGTTTCATAGAGCCGCAGTGCTGGTCACAGGGGAACAAGGAGAAACGTCAAGGCTTGATGAGCACCGGTACATCCATACCCACAGTCAGGGCGTCACATTAGAACCCTCGCTTGCCAAAGGTCACGTGGGGCTCATGAAGGACTTGCAGGGGAAGGCATGTCTCCTTAGTGGCCGAAACACAGAATCAAGTCACCTCGGTGCTTTCAGTCCTTGGGGAGGAGCTCATACAAAAGGGGAGGGAGGGACGGAAAGGGACAGCAGCTGAGTGATTTCATCTGTTTGAAGTGGGACATAAACGGTCAGGGGGCTCGTGCAAAATAAACAAAATCTCATCAGTTTTTCACTCAGAGAATGTAAAACTGGAATCTTTCCCAACGGTGACTTAGAACCTGTGAGCAAAATCGCAGGATCAGAGAATACTCTTGGGATTTGGACTCCCTTCCAAGGAGCCATCAACCACAGATGTTCAAGAGACCCCAGCCAACACTCTTTTACTTATAGAACTCTCTCAAAACAAGAATCTCACTCAAAGTGAGGTTTATTTTGCAAGTAATTACAATTCACTAAGAAAGCAAATGCCCATCATGCAGGCCCTGGAGTAAATAAAATGTGGCTCTGGGGACCTAGGGGCCCATTCTTCTCCCGTCCAAGGTCTGAATGATATGAGGTTATCAATCAGGGCCTCTTCTTTATGAGGTAGGAGTTCTCCCCTTCATAATTCTTTCTTTTTTTTTTTTTTTTTTTTTTTTTTTTTTTGCGGTACGCGGGCTTCTCACTGTTGTGGCCCCTCCAGCTGCAGAGCACAGGCTCCGGATGTGCAGGCTCAGCGGCCATGGCTCACGGGCCCAGCCGCTCCGCGGCACGTGGGATCCTCCCAGACCGGGGCACAAACCCGCGTCCCCTGCATTGGCAGGCGGACTCCCAACCACTGCGCCACCAGGGAAGCCCCATAATTCTTCTTGATAGCTGGATCTGTAAAAGAGGAAAATGTAAATTCTGCTCATGTTCGTAGGAGCTGCAAAGGAGAAAAGGAAAATCAATTGCTGTATCCCCTTAGGATTCCTTTTTTGATGGAGTTAAGGTAAGTATAGTTAATTCGTTGTCAGTTTTCAACAGAACTGTAGAACTAGAACACAGAATCTATCTCAGTTCATACTTCTAAATTTTTTTCCCCTACAGGTGGCTTTCTACCCTATTTAGTGAGAATATCTGGATTACAGATAATGTTACCCAACCACAAAAGACATTCCCGTGGAGTTTGATCACCCGAGTTTGAAGTCCGACTCGAAAGCACCTTATAAAAAGAAAGATTGAACTAAATGGTCTCTAAGACCCCTTCCGCCCTAACAGATAACATCTAATATACGCAGATTCCACTACTCTTTCTAAACAAGCAAAAGTCAGTAGTCTTTGAAGCAAAAGTGGTCACAGAGCAGAATCCTTGCAGGGCAGTTATAGCGAAAAATGGCACCTCAACATTTTCAAGCCACAACAGACTTAAGGGAGAAAACAATGACTAAAAATACTTTTTTGCCCACTTCAGAGTTTGGGAGGCCTAAAATGTGTCTCTTCTGATTAAACACTAAGTCATCATGCTTGGATTGCCTGCAGTCATCTTGAGGGTGGCTTAAACATATTTTACCAAACTATGGGTACTTAATCTGGTGAGATGAGTTGGGGGTAGCCAGGTGGGGATGGAAAGGTCTTGCCCTGCCCGTCTTCATCTCTCTAACTCTGCACCCTCCTTTTCCCACCACCTGCTTCCAACCTCCTCAAGTGCAGCTGTGCCTGCTAAGCTCCTGCCGACCATGTTTCAGATGTTTTTCTGGGGAAGAGCAAATGGTTTCTTTTAACAGGTAATGAAAGACATTTTAGTTTTAACATAATGAAAGAATATATTGATACTATTCTCATTTTGCCACTTTTTGAGACAGACTCTCAGCCCAAGGACTCTAAGCACATTATCAAAGCTTCCAGGTACTTCCATCGGATAGAAAGGCTCCATGTGTTTTACAGAGACACAGGAAAATAACCGATCTGTCCCCATCATCAGACAAGCAAAACTAAAAGAGTAAACACCGGGCTAGGACCTGAGAAATTTATCTAGGCATCCTCCAGCCTGAATTCTAGAATGATGTCTCTCCAGTCTCAAAGATTTCTAGATAAGAGATGCCATCACTTGGCTTCAGTGTTCTCTTATATTTATTTAACTGCAATTCCAAATTAGTGGTCTACAGACTTCTCAGTGTGTATTACAAAGGACCATCAGGGACTTCCCTGGCGGTGCAGTGG